ATAACCCTACCGATTTGAAAAGGGTTATATTGACTACCAATCTATAAGGAATGATCGATATTTACGTTTGGATGATAATAATAGTACTTTCGATATGAATCATTCTTGAGAAAAGTGGTTTCGTAATTGTGTTGAGTATTGTTGTCTTATATAATATAGCGGTGCAACCGATTTTTTTAAGTATTCAGTTATCTCTTAAAAAATACTAAATAGAACAGTGTTCAATTCTCATGTGGCTAGTCTTATTGACAGCAGGAATCATAAGGCTCTGGAAATGCAGGTTTACAAGCTGTTGATAAATAATTCTTTAAAATCTTGTTTCCCAAACGTTGAAATTGTTGTGCGCATTTATTTGTCTCTCATGATCACCAACTGCAGTGGTGAACGATCTTTCTCAACATTAAAACGTGCTAAAAATGAATTGAGGAACACGATGAGCCAACAACGTCTTAATCACCTCACTTTAATGAATATTGAACATGATTTACTCCGAGAAGTCGATATCAACAGCATTATTTATAAATTTGCCCAAATTAAATCAAAAAAAGTTTGTTTGTAACAGTTTTGTTTTATTTAATACCATAAACTCGATAAGTACCTAACCTAAAACAGTCTAAGGGCCTTTTGATAGAATTTGCTACAGGCTCCGCGCTGGCTTAATCCGGCACTGGTATCGGGGATTATCGAAAACGAGTAATTATGTCTAAATCGGAAGTAACTCATTCTATTTCTATTAAATGAACGATAAAATTTCGGCAAGGTGTACCTAATGATTTGGGGATACATGTCTGCAAGGGCTATAAACTTTTCAGTTTGTGGATTGAAGTATAAATATCGAAAAGATTCTACAAGAAAAACTATTGCCAAGTGCAACATCTTTGTATCCCGCAGAAAGGTGTAAGTAGGTATTCAAATGGCTTGGGGAAAAAGATAGGTACACGAGTTCTTCTATAGCCTGCCAATAGCCCCTACCTTAATTAACAATATATTTACTTAGTACACCAGGTATTAAATATTAATAGAAAATAACCTATTATACTTCATTTACTTTCTCTAGCGAAATACCCCTTTCAATTTCTTGGATGCGCGCTGGCAAAATGTAGTTAGGGAGAAAAAGCTCATTATACTCTCGACTCTTGTTCATTAAACATACTTTTTTATACAGTACCTGCCAAAAGTTTTGCTCAATCATGAATAGTAGTGCGAGTCGAGAACAAGCGTTAAAGCCTTTAATATATCATCAAATATAAATAAACATCTCGTTGATATTTTCAGTAGTAATTGGTACCAATAACAGCACATTAGAGCAATGCAATTGTAGTGGATAAAATGGCCAATTTTTTCGTGCAGTACTGTACGTATTATACGCTCCCCACCAGTTAAGAGTTTAGTCTCCTTCCTTTTCTGGCCTAGTGCTGTTCTTTTCTACTTTGCGCCGGTCAAACTGAAGGTCAGATCGCTACAGAAAGTAAACGAAGTATACCAATAACTTGAGGTTCTAAACCTTGTTATTAACCAGTTCGTTATTTCAAAATTGTCTCAATTCCTTCTCTATGTCACGATAAGCTTCGAAATAGGAATTCATTCACATTCGAAGCAGGTAAATTCTACAGAAAGGAGATCATTATTAGTATCTATCCAATTAATTATTGCTACATATCCACAGCAAAAACTCAACAAGGATTAAAACCTGAAGTTCACAGACCTTATTCAGTAAGAAAATAATGTGTTGATATACCTACGTTTGGTTACAGATCTAAAACGCGTATTTCCTTAAATAATTGAACATTTCTCCAGGTCTTTCTAAAGGTACTTGATTGAGTTATTGAATTACAAATTTTTTGGTACCTCTCCTTGTATACACATTATAGTCCCTAGACGTTAATTCATACAAACCTGGATATGCATGTAAATAAACAATTATACATTGGATTATCCAAATTGTTTCGCATTCACCATGATTACTTGGACCTTTATAATTTAGCATATAACACTCAGGAGCAAGTGGTTCCAATTTAAATTCCAATCCTATTGTAAATTGTGTTTAACGCATCATCTGGAGAAAACTCCAGTCGTGTATATGCATCATGAATTATGAAATGTAAAATGGATAAAAAAAGAATCTACGACTTCAGAAAGTTAGTTGATGTAATTAAGTTAATATCACCGTAGTATCGATCGTAGACAATTTCATAATAGAACCAAACCCAAATTTTATGTCTATTCATAAATAGACTCTAACACACACACAAAACTTTCGAGTTTATCATAATGTTGTAGTATTAAAACGAAGGCCGTTGTTGTTAGAAGGCACAGTGCACGACTTACCGACTCGTTTGTCCTATTGCAGAAAGATGTGCTTTGCCCGTGACGTCATGGTCATCCTGATTAAATTTTAAGTATATAAAAGCTTCATGAAGCATGTTTCCAATTTTACAATGCTAACAAAAAGAGAAGCCATAAGGTGACTATCAAACAAAAGGAAATACACGACAACAACAACACCTACCTTATAAACAAAATATTTGTCAAGAAGGATATAAGAAAGAGATAAAAAATTAAGAAAAGGACAACGTCGGCTTTGAATAGAACGCGGGCTACGGGCATACCAACCCAGCATACATACCAGTGCAAACTGGTCGTGTTTGCATTATAGGTACATAACCACCCATTACAGTCATTATACAGGGTTTGTCCGAGAAGTAATAGGACTGAGTCGATTTAAATAAATTTATTGAGCCAATCGTTGCAATTCCTTAAAAACTTTCAAAATAGGCTCCCTCTGCGTTGATGCAGCGCTGCCAGCGCGATCTCCAAGCATTGAAGGCGTTACGGAAGGCATTCTCCGGAATAGCCTTAAGAGCCGCGGTGCATGCTGCTTGGATCCCCTCTGTCGTTTCAAAATGCTTGCCTTTCTTTGGCCTTTTCAGGCGAGCAAACAAAAAAAAGTCTGGGGGGGCCACATTTGGACTGTAGGGCGGCGGCGGAAGCGGTGGGATGCCCGCCTTGGTCAGGTAGCTGACCACAAGAAAGGCGGTGTGAGCCGGGGCGTTGTCGTGGTGCAACTTCCAGTCGGCTGCGATGTCTTGTCGGACCCGATTGACCCTTCGTTTGAGTCTCTTGAGCACTCCCACGTAAAACTTGACGTTGACGGTTTGTCGAGAAAAACAAATTCATGGTGGACGATGCCTTTCATGTCAAAAAAGACAATGAGGTTTTACTTTGGATTTGCTTATTCTTCCCTTTTTAGGGCGAGGATAATCCGGCGTGTGCCACTCGGAAGATTGCCTCTTTGTCTCGGGATCATACTCAAAGATCCATGACCTGTGATTACGTTATTCAAAAATTGGGGGTCACTTTCACACATGTTTAAATTTAATCGCGTACCTCTGCTCTAACGAACGCTGCATTTTCGGCTTGCACCACTCACAGAAACACGTCGCGCGAAAAAGCCTGTTCTAACTGTCCAGGTGCTCGGAGACAACTCACCAGCCGCTCGTTCGTTAGCTAGGAATGCCCTCTACGAAATCCAGTCGGTACGCGCACGCTCCGAAGTACAGTCGCGGCGGAAGGAAATCAGTCTTATTAATTTCACGGACAAACCTTGTATGACGATTGTGACTAAAAATTTTGTTATAACAGCTTACAGTTTTCTTCAACTGCAGAGTCGTGGTGTATCATAAGTTCTTGTCACAGGGTAGAACAGTCAGTAAGGTATATTACCTGCTTGTTATGCACAATTTATGCGAAGCAATGGGTCAGAAAAATCCGGATTTGCGGAAGAACAAAAATTGACTTTAGCACCATGATAACGCCCGTGCTCACAACACGTTGCTCGGGACACACTAATAATACCGAGGAGATGAAAACGGCATCGAAGGAGGAGCTGAACAAGATCTCAAAAAATCATTTTTGAAGTGCTCCGAGAATTGCAGGAAACGTTGGCACAAGTGTATAATATCTGGTGGGGATTACTTTGAAGGGGACAAAATAGATATTCATGAATAAATAACAATTTTTGAAAAAAACACCAAATTCGCGTTACTTTTTGAACAGACCTCGTATACATACTGCCGAGTAATAAAACACCTCTCACTGTTGTAACCGATCTATAAATAATTAAACACTCGTGTACTCTATGTCGCACTGAATCATTTCTGCGCTCATTTTATTTTACTTTCTTTTGCTTGGTAACTAGAATTATCGTTCCGATTTTTTTTTATCTTCATGGAAGAGAATAATCTTCAAAGGACCCCCAGCCGTTCGTACGACTCGGTAGTGTTGGATTCGCTCCAAGGGGCGCCTACCAACTAAAACCCCTCTATCTCAGGCCGTTTTAGGACTTATAACGTCAGGTGCTTTTCAGTCTATACCTCCCAATCTATTGAAAGTGGTTGGATATTCTAGAGATAGTATTCCAGAACGTAGATTCTGCAAGATTGTGTCCTTATTACTCGTAACAGTAGCTATGTTTAATGTCATTTAAATTTGTATTTAAATGTATATAAACATTATGTAAAATAATTTTTTGATGTGTGACAAAACTTTAGAATATCAAATGTAATGAACTTTTAAAGAACATATTTATTTACTACTACTATAAGGAAACAAGTTGGGATTATTTAAGGCATGTTGTAACAGGAATTGGAGAAAGATCTTGCCAATGTACTATTTGCAATCATCAACAAGAAGACGTAGTATATCGCATGTGAATTGCCCGATTTTTAGGTTATAGTCGATATCATCCCTCGGCGATCGCGCTATAAACTTCAATAGGCACTCTATCCGTACCACCCAAACTTTCTCGATCTCGATTTTATTTGCAAACATATTGTCAATGGTTTGGACAATACAATTGTAAGATTTACGTACCTAAAGAAAACAATAAAATTGATACTTGATTACCTTCTAACGTCAAGCATTGTTAATCACAAAGGAAGTGTAATAATATTCATGTACAGCTGAAGTTTTAACTCGATTCCTTTTTCTGTTTCTTTCAGTTAAACCATTTTGACAATAATAAGGTATCAGGATCTCCATTCGGCTCACTACTAAAACAAACTGACCAAGAACTGACCAACGTAGTGATAGAACATTTAGTTATAAAGAACTGTTTACATATGTAGGTACTATATAGCAGTGTATGAAATGAACCCCATCCGTTTCTAAGTAAGGGTGTCGTTATCTCCGTGTCTGCGATGTGGCATCAGCAGTTGATTTAATGGATTTATTCGAGGGAATACGCACCACCAATTTGTCCAAGTTGTCTCTGTCGAGATTTCTATCTCAATCAATGTAAGTAGTTAGCAATTAGATGAAGCGATCGCTTCTTGTAAGTTGTTAATTTTATAATTACCAGATATTTACATATACACCGGTTATAGACAGCGTTTTATGAATTACTACAAATAGCATATATATATGAATGGCTTTTACATTTAATAGTGGTTAATATCAAATGAATTATTAAATGTATTAAATAAACAATTTAATGTTAAGCGTTTCTTATATATAGTATAAATATAATTCCATTAGTTCGACAGATCTGTGATCTAATAAGTACGGTTTGTCGTTGTTGTTGTTATCATCTCTCGTAGGTTAGGGCTGAGAGCATTAGTGCGTAAAGCCAAAGGTCCCGGCAAAGAATACAGACCCATAGAAGGCCACATCAGTGCGATTTGGTGTCGCAGTAGAATGCTCAGTTCTAACTGCGACCGTAGGAGCCGCATGGTCGAAATAGGCAGGCTGCAGATGGAATTGTCAGCAGTCGTTGGCCGTGCATCGACCAGAGTAGTTATGAGTAGGGGTGCACATAAAAATTTTTCTTTTAGGATGAAAAATATTTTAATTAGTAACTGATTATTATGAAAATGATGTTCAATATTTACATTTCAGAGAATAGCAACAGTCAGAATAGAAAATATTGATAATGATAAAACATTATAAAATGGCAATTATACGATAATCGTTGGAATTGTTTATTCTCAACCGATGAGTTCAGACGATAATATTTTTTTCGTAATTTTGTTGCATTTGTTAATCAACATTTAATATCATTTGAGAATTAAAAAATACATACTAAATTTCGAGGAGCAAAGGGCAGGTAGCCGAGTAAACTGCTCGTAGCCACGTGACCTCTTCCCACTTTCCATCCAACTCACTCCATGCAATGTTTCTACTTTTCGCTAAAAATTCAGTCTCATTTATGGATTGATAGTTGAAAAAAACTAACAATAAACTAATTTGTATAGTCAAATTAGTGAAAATAGACTAGTCCCCAAGTCCGCCTAGTAATAAACAATTCCATTGATTGTAGTATAATTGCCATTTTATATTGTTTTATCATTATCAATATTTTCTATTCTGACCGTTGTTATTCTCTGAAATGTAAATATTGAACATCATTTTCATAATAATCAGTTACTAATTAAAATATTTTTCATCCACCCCTACTCATAACTACTCTGGTCGACGCATGGCCAACGACTGCTGACAATTCCATCTGCAGCCTGCCTATTTCGATCATGCGACTCCTACGGTCGCAGTTAGAACTGAGCATTCTACTGCGACACCAAATCGCACTGATATGGGCTTCTATGGGTCTGTATTCTTTGGTCCCGGGTTCGATTCTCGGTCATGGTCTGACAACAGCAACAAATTTTCCCTCATTAACCTGAGGTAGTTTAATGTGGGAAAAAATTGGAAATGAATTTTCACATTAATACAACAGATAGCGTTATGAACGCCATTTGCAGAATATTGTTATACAGTAGATGCATTAGTAGTTCGGTAGTTTAGACCATTGCTTAGCATTCGGGAGGACGCCGGTTCGATTCCGGGTCCGTCTGCTTTGGTCAAAGTTTTTCTGTGGTTTCCTTGGATCACTTAGGCAAATGCTGGGGCAGTAATATTCCACAGATAATCTTTCATTCTCTTCTGTCTTCATTTCGTCCGTCTCGTCTTTCTCACCCGAACCACCACCCACCCATTCCCACGATTCCCGAAAGCAGGCTGAAGAGGGCCATCCGCCCTACCTTCCGGCATAGTTCGGAGGGACTGCCCGCCCACCAGCATTACTGGCTGGTGGGAATGAAACACCCAAAAGTTTTTAGTTTTTTTTAATTCGGAAGAATTAAGGTATCAATTTTTCCCCACATTAAGTGATGTGATGAGTCTTCAATAGTCTTTCTTATGCAGTATAAAAATACCAGGTACAGCTACTAGAATTATAAGTTGTTCAAGAAAATGATATTGCTATTTCAATTTGAGCCTTTACGCCATTATTAGCCTCATGATTTGCATCACTGTTTGTTATTAGTGAGTAAATCAGGTAATAACAAATATCCGTAAAATAAAATAAATTATGGAGGTAGGTATGTACAGGGTGTCTCAAAACTCGATGGACATAAAGCCACAGGTTCCTGGGATGAAGGCCCATCAGCCACTAATGCTGGTGGGTGGGCAGTCCCTCCGGACTACAGCGGAAAATAGGGTGGAAGGCTCTCTTCAGCCTCCTTTCAGGAATCGTGGGAATGGGTGGGTGGTGGTTCGGATGATAAAGATGAGACGGACGAAATGAAGACAGTAGAAAATTAAAAATTATATGTGGAATATTACCTACTGCTCCAACATTTGCCTAAATTATCCAAGAAAGTCAAAGAAAAACTTGAACCAAGGCAGACGTACACGGAGTCGAACCCGCATCCTCCCGAATGCTAAGCAATGGTCTAAACCTCTATGCCGCTCGGTGGTAGGTTGCTTGAACTGAATTTAACTATATACATACGCGAAAATGATTCGTTTGCCCATTAGAGGGCGCCCAAGGCACCAAAAGAAATGTTTTTTTCTTAAAAACGCTTTTTACTATTTCAAAAATTTGATATATGGATATGTATATTAAAGTAGTAACTTCTAATGTGTACATCAATTTTATTAAAGTTGCCTAAAACCTTCGATACAAAAACCGATCGGAAACTTTTTAGAGGGTTAGGTTTGCATGTCAATGATATTTTCATCGAATAGTATTTACCGTAATTGCTTTTTACTGAAAAACCGCATCTGAAATAGTTTCGGAGAAAAAAAAGTTTATTAAAGTTGATAAACACGCCAAAATTTAGTACAATCATAGGAATGCCTACGTATAAAATTTTAGTTAGATCGTAATGAGCAGCTTCCAGTTATTCCAATAAAATTTACTTTGAGAGAGAATTGTCGGAAATGATCGATAAAGGAAACTTTTTTCCGAAACTGTTGCGGATATGAGAAAAAAAAAATGAAGCTAAAAAATGTGCCAATCATAATTTCTAATTTTTCCTCTTATGCATAGAACGGATTTTTTTTTTTAAAAGCAACATAGGATAAAAAGAATTAATTTTGTTGAACCGACACAGACATTTTGCCGTTCTCTTTGAAGGTTTTGTCAAGATTGGTCATAGTCCAGGCAGCATGGGCGAATGAGTGGGAAAAATTATTCAGATTAAATTTACGCAATTTTGTTCGGAATATTTTCCTGAATCAACGGTGTGGCTTGCCAGCCGGGAACCCGGTCGGGTGTTATTTAAATTGCGTTTGTTTAAACAAATGGCAAAAAACATTTTTTTTTGCCGGAACATTTTTTTTTATATTCTTTGGTTTAATCTCGATAAAAAAGGTCTGAAGAATTATTTTTATAAAGTTAATATTTTCCGAGTTATGAATTTTTGGAAGTCTGACTATATGCGAAAATCGCTTTTTCTTATCTTCAAAAAGTTATTAAAAAATATGGTTTGTTAGAAGCTAATATTGTACTTACATGCATTTAATAAATTACACTAAAGAAATATTAATTTTCATCTTTGTTATATTCACAACCCCAAATTTAAATGAAGAAAAGCTAATTTCTATGTTATATATTATATTGTTTTCGGAATTCCCACAACGTAATACACAATTTATCGCATTTTTCTATTATTACTGCTCCACTAGTACCTACGTATTCCCAAACGGTTAATATTCAGTAACTATTTGACCTCTGAGAAAAGAAAATAGTTGGGTATAGGTAAAAAATGAGGTATAACATTTCACATTAACGAGATACGTGACGTGGAACCTGGAGTCTTCTTTCACGAATCATGTAACCATGTAACCAGTAGCATGGTGGTTCATAGAGAAGTGGACACCATGTAAGGTACAGGCGCCAATGAAGGCCCACTTAATTTCAAAACCTCGTAAAATTTTGCAGATAAGTAAAGTAAAGAAAAAATATAATGGAAGTTGTTATATATTTATTTGAAAAACAAGATATGTGAAAAAGTAGTAAAGCTTTTGGCATTTTAACACAAATGTAAACACTTTTTAGAAACTTGGTATTGGGCTATCTTAGGAAGCTGGTCGCTCAAGATGGCCCGAAAAATATTAATGAAAATATATGCATTATAAACACTTAAACATTTTTAACATAAAACATGAAAATAAAAACACATCCTTCTCATAACATTATTCATAAAAGCTAAAAAAGTCATCCAAAAATTTAAATGTGGGCTGTCTTAAATCTATCAAAATGAAAATCAACTATAAAATAAAAACAAAATACTAAATAAAATAAAATAAAATTTAAGTTTGAGATCAACTTTGCAAGTTACTTATCAAAAATAAAAATAAATCAGGTATTTTTTATATATTTTTTTTAATGTCATTCATAGGTGGGCTATCTAAGGAATACTGAAAATTAACTTTGAGATCAATCAAAATATACTTAATTAATTAAAACAAATTAGACGCTACTGTCTTTAACTGAGTGTGTACACATCCTAAAAAAACTGAAAAAAACTCAAAAGTGAATTTACTTAATAACTTTATCCTTAATCAGAACTTTAATTGCACGCTGGACATATGAATGCTCCTCATTGTCTTTGGTTAAACCCACACAGACTTCATGATACCATTTTTGGCATTGACGCATATCATCAAGTCTATCCACCTTGCATCCATGACAAAACTTATAACATACAAACACAAAAATATACTAACACTACATTTCAATAAACCTAGGAAGGCCCGGGCTATGTTTGGGAATTATATTATGGGCCATGATAGGAAATTACACTCGGATTGAGTATAATCTCATAAAAATACGAAAAAGGAAATAAAATAATAACACTCACCTATAATTCGCTGACAAATAGATTAAATATAAATTTTCACAGTTTAGACCAACGAGATTTGGTTTAAATTTATAAATTTTCAAAATGATTTAAATAATGGTTATTATAAAACGTGCATCGTCTTGACATGACCAAGCAAACTGTCATCTGCCT